GATTTACTCACGAACAAATAAAACACTGAAAAAGCCAAACAATAACATTCAAAAATGACCCCACGGGTTTTTTTCTTCAAAATCTTTAAAATGCAAAGTTGTAATATATTCATATTCCAGGTATTCCTCATAAAATATGTTTGTAACATGAGGCCATTTGCATTTTTATTTATTTTTTCATTAATTTAAAAAAAAAAAATGCTGTTTTTGTATCACTACCCCACTCTTCCACAAGTGGGGTCAAAAATGACCCCAAGCAGTTCCTATGGGATCTTCTATGAAACTTTCATTCTTAGCAACTCTGACTGACCCACTTACACTTCTGATGGATCAAGAATTAATTTTTACACAGTAACATACACGATTTATAGTCAGGGCTGCACATAAGTGGTCCGCAGGTGTGCATTTGCTGTCAAAATAAAAGTATTCCCGGAAATTCAGAGAATACGTGCTTCTTTTGCCGTGGAGGAACACCAAAGTAATTGCTTACAGAGCTTGCTTCTTCGGCATCTTTAAGAGTTCTGAACAAATGTCTGTCCTCCTCCAGAACATCTAATGTACGCAAACGAATGTTCCAACTTCTTATCTGGTGCACGTCTTTTATTTTGACAGCAAATGCGCACCTGCGGACTATTTATGTGCAGCCCTGTTTATAGTTTTCTGTGCATTTCAAACATTGTCCTTTCTGATGTTTTTTTTTAAATATTTAAAGTAACATGGCTGCTATGAGGCCAGCTAGGATCCCTGTGGCCCTACAAATGATCCAGGACGGATGGGATGAAGAGCCCATCGGAGGCATTGACTCAGAATTTGACATCTCAGATATAGAGGACCCAGACAGAGGAAATGGATATTGAGTCTAACAGAATGAGCCCCTCTTACTGCTCTAGCCACAATATTCTGAATTAGTCGGCCAGGGCTTGCACCTGGGTTTAGTACTGTCTCCCCAATAGATGTATGGAAGATGTTTATGTCTGATAATATAATAGAAGAGGTGCTGACATGCACAAACATGGAGGCATGAAGAGAAGCCACAGACAGGGGAAAAGAGTGGAAAAAT